ATTATTCTATGCTCGTCGACGAAAAGTCGACGAAGGGCAAGCTGGTAATTGATGACCGCCACTGGTTTTCGCGGGCCATTATATCCCAGTTACACCCAGCAGGATGGCGGAGCGATTTCAATCGCCCTTTATGCGCGATGAACACCGGTTGCGATTAAATAATTCGGGGCGAGGATCCGTTGGTCAAATTAATCGTTTCAGTTACGCTTAACAGTTGAACGAACAGTAATTAATAAATAATGAATAGTGATTTGAAATCTGGAAGAATATGGAAAAAATTTTTTGACAACAAACTTTTTTGTTGCATTGTATACCGTTTAATTTTACTTTCGATTGTCAAGAAAAAAATAACCGTATCATCAATGCCAAGATGTGTTCTCCGACAGATTTTAATTTTTCTTTTTCTTTTCTTTTTTTTTTTTTACTTCAGTTAGTAGAATCATATCCTTGTCTAAAACTTGTCTGACAAATAGATAGATATAAACGGCGCTATTATTATTTTTTATTATAAATTACTAAATTAATCATTAAAATTATACGGTGGAGATGATCCAGTGCAATCGCACTCGAAATATCGATACCATTAACGATACCAGATCGATCAACATCCCCCAAAAAGGAGGGGGACATTTCTACGACGCGCGAGTAGTTAGGCATCGCGTCGGTTCCTCGAGGAGTGGAGCGGGAAGGGAGAGACGCTGTCAGAGGAGATTTTCACGGGACCCCTTGGCGGCAGACAAACGGCGGCCAATTTACGAGCAGCGTGAAAAGAGAAACTTCTTTAAACTCGGATTAAAATAAGCGACGAAAACGCCTTTTCTCCCCCCTCCCCATTCCTTCTCTCCTTCTTCCTTCGCCTCTCAACCTTCTCATATCCACCCTTGAAATTCATTTCGCCGCTGAAACGTTATTTTATTCGTCGCGGCGGAGAGGGGAGAGGGGAGGCTCCTTTCGGTGACAATTCGTCGGTTAAATTGATCGCCGGGGTGGGAGGGGGGAGGAGGGGAAGGAGGAGCGAGGGGTCAGAATGTTAGAATGATCGACTATCTTCAGATTGTTCTTGATTTGTCGATCGTTCCTGGCAATTATAACATTCTCGGCCGAAAATGGCGACGTAGATCGACGATTTTGCGTAATTTTTTGTAATAATTCTTGCAAATGTATATCGTCGAAGAGAAAGAAATTACGTTGTTGATTTGACTACTACTCAAAAGAGAGACAGAAATCCAGAATACTCGCTGTTTCTCATCCATCCGCGTTTATAATAACAATAAAATTTTTCACTGAAAAATATCCCCGATATTTTTATCAAATGAACGCACCACGATTCCATGTTCTACAATTCTCAACAATCCTCCTTCCATTCTCCTCTCCTCTCCTCTCCTCGAACAGGAGAGAGATTTGTTGGAGAGATCGAGATCGGGTTCCGGGATCACAGTTTTGAAAACCGTGTGGATGCACGCGGGGAAATCGTTTTGTTTTTTAATCAGATGGCGCGTATCGAGCGAGAACAGTGGCGGGCGCGGCAGGATAGGACAATAACGACGCCCTCGGGAGCGTCCACGATGAATCCCGGCTAACGCGATTACGCGACGCGCAACTGATTTCGCCAACTGGTTGATTTACCTGGGAATACGCGTGCACACCCGGCCGGCCATCCACAATTAAAATACATTAACGCGAAACGAATCGGCGTCGAACCTTCGCTCGACCTTCGCGTGATTGATGAGGAAAAAAAAAAATTTTTCCCCCTCCTCTGAATTTTGTGAACCAGTTGTATCGTATCGATGATGGAACTCGAATTGGACGATATTTATTTATCGATTTGGACCCGATTACCGATAATTGGGATCGATTAAAATTGGCGAATTTTGAATAGTTGAAAATATATAGTTGATCGTAAAAATTGCCACGAGTAATTTTCCATAATTAAAAATTACACGTGGAAGAATTTCAGACAGGAAATCGTTTTGATTGGAAAAAAAAAAAAATAGTACGAAATATAGAAGAAACTTTAAGCGCCTCTTTACGTAAAAATCTTGTGATAAACGTGAAATGATAAAAAGACAGAAATCGTGAAATTGTACAGCGAGACGGCATCGAAGGTTCGATCTTCGCGTGATTGATGGGGAAAAAAAATTTTTCTCCCTCCTCTGAATTTTGTGAACGAGTTGTATCGTATCGATGATGGAATTCGAATTGGACGATATTTATTTATCGATTTGGATCGATTACCGATAATTGGGATCGATTAAAATTGGCGAATTTTGAATGGTTGAAAGTATCCAGGAGAAAATGATAAAAAGATAAAAATTATTTTTTCGCAGAAAATCCGTCCAAAATTAAGAAAGGAGCTTGACCTTTTGTCTTACGAACGCTTCTTATCAACGTGAAAAAATTACGATGAGTAATTTTCCATAATTAAAAATCATATGTTGAAGAATTTCAGAAATCGTTTTTAAACTTAAAGGGATTAAAAAAAAAATGCTACGAAATATAGAAGAAACTTTAAGCACCTCTTGTGCTTTACATAAAAATCGTGAAATTATATATTTGCAAGGCGACTTTCGTAATGAAAAAAAAAAAAAAAAATTTCTCCTCTGTGCTGCGCAGGATAAAATATTGGATGAATTTTGAATTAAACGTTGTCATATCGTATCGATGATGGAATTCGAATTGGCATTGGACGATATTTAAGTCGATCGATTTGGGATTGATTAAAATTGGTGAGTTTTGAATAAGTTAAAATTATTTGACAATTATCTTTCCTCGCAGAAAATCCATTTTCACGTAAGAGGTTAAGTGAAATGTAATCGTATCTTGAAGAATTCCACGCATCAAAATCAAAATTTTTAACTTAAGGAATTAAAAAAAAAAAATTACGAAATACAAAAGAAACAACCTCTTGCGTTTTCGCATAAAAATCCTCCAATAAAACTTTTGAAAAAAAGTTTATCGAACAAATACCGTATAAATAATAACCCTAAAAATATCATAGAGGAAGCCTCGATGCTCTTGCAACGTCTCTCTTCGTATCAAACGCAGGATAAACTCGAATAAAAATGTTCGAAAATCTAAATTATTGCAGAATCTTCGTCGATTCCTATCATACTGTAATTTTCTTGCACGTACATGCCGAATCCTCTGTTGAAATATCAGTTTTTGCACAAAATTTGCAAGTTTTGGCATCGAGAAACGTTTACTCCACATCATTTCGAATCGAAAAGCAACGGATAATGATGATGTTCTTGAACGAAATCGCCTATTTTCGATAAATCTTGCACTGAGAAATCGATTTTGTAGAAAATAGTAGATTTCAAATCAAAAATCTAAATATACGTCGATTCTTATCATAGTGTAATTTTCTCGTACAAACATACAACCGAGAAACATCGAAAATGAAATTTGTTGAAATATCAGTTTTTACAAAATTTGCAAGTTTTGGCATCGAGAAACGTTTACTCCACATCATTTCGAATCGAAAGAGATGAGAAACAAAACGATGGAACATGTTGAAAAGTGAAACTGGTAATTAAAAAAAAAAAAAAAGAACGAAGCTTAAAGAAATATTATTATTCCAACGCGGGAGCGCGAGGTGGATGGTAATGGCGCCCGAGGGACGAGAGGGGTAACGCGATTAGACCGGGTGGAACGATTCGGCCAGCTTGATTTATCCGCGTACCAACGCGTTATTGCATTAGCGCCCCGGCGACGATGCCACTGGCCAGCTTCGTCCTGGGGACGCAACGTCCAGCCGTCCGTGAATCATCCCTAAGAATTATGTCTTGGACGGTGGTGCCAGGACAACCGATTTGTCGAGCCCTGGTAACCAGAGAAGTGGAGAATTATTCGCGAATTAGTTTAGAAGCGTTTTCTTCCTTCTCGACCGAGGCAAACCGTCCGTTTCGAAGAGTAGAACGAAGGAGGAGATTGTCTCGAACGAGATTTCCTCTTTTCCCTCCCCCTCCCCCCCTCCCCTCGACAGAGAAACGCGAGAAAATGGTGTTTGGATCGGAGTTTACACGCGAGAAAGAAAAGAAGAGGGGATCGAAAAGATGAAAGTTTTCCAAAAGTTTTCCCGAGAACGAATAACGAAACGGAGGAGGAAGGTTGTGCGTTGCAACAACGCAAATGGAAATATTTCATTTCAGGGATGAAAGCTCGAGTCTGCTTCTCCTGCGTCGGGGTAATGAGCAATAAACAAATCCACGCTTCGATGAGTTTCAAGTTTATATATTTTAAAGCTAATAGTATACAGTGACAATCATGTATCCAAGAACAGCCTCGACACGAGCGCCACATCGTCATTTTTTCCAATTAATTCGCGACAAACATTTCTATTCGCAAATTTTCGAAATTTCTTCTGCAACGTTCCCTCCCCGAAGCTTGAGAAAAATGCAATCGATTAACGTGATAAGGATAATTTTTCCCACGGATTCCGCTCGCTTCCAACTACTACGAATCTCCTCTGCTATTTATATTTATATTTATATTTATATATATATTTATATATATATATATAATACTTTATATTATATAATACACACTTCTCCCCCCCCTAAATCGTTCACTTTATACACATCGAGTCTCCGTTTTTTGTACTTGTCGAACACTCAGCTGGCACTCAGGTATGACGAGTATCCTTTACAAATATCCTTTCCAACCAACAATAAATCACTGATTTCACGAATTTTCTCGATCGACCAATCAAGATCCAAAAAATTGTCGTTCCCTATATGTATATACTACATATACATACATATACATATATATATATATATAACATATATCGATCACGAACGCTGTTCAACAACGCAAGTCCCCGAATCAAATCTACCTCTCCCCTTACGACTTAATCTTAAACGAACGAAAATTCGTCCATGTTGCCTCATCTTGCTTCGTGAAACGAATCCTCCCCTCCCCTCGCCGACAGCATACTCACCACCGTGACAAAGAATCGACAGCAGACTCTTGAGAGAGATAGAGATAGAGATAGAGAGAGAGAGAGAGAGAAATTGGCGAAACTCGTTGGTTTTTTACGCGGGCCTGTCGAGTCCAAGCGCTTCCTGGTGCCGTCTCGCCTTCAACCTGAGGTCGGCGATGCTGCTGTTCTTGGATCGCGCCGCGGCCGCTGCCAACGAGGCCGCGAGGCTGAGGGGGTGGGGGGGATGGTGGCTGGTGGCAGGTGGCGGGGGCGGTGGGGGCGGGAGGCAGAAGAGGCCGCCGGCAGCCGCGTAATGGAGGACGGCCGGATCGAAGGCAGAAGCTGGAGCGGTCGTTATGTTGCCACCTGCACCCTGGATCGGGGGGTGCAACCTCAACGCGGGAAGGTAGGGCGCCACTCGACACGGTTCCAACGTCGCCGGGGGGCTGCGTGGCGCCAGCACCATTCCACCTGCAACGCCTTCCAATCCACGCGGATTGGAATTTCGTTATGGTGAACGATTATTTGTTTTATTTTTTCCATGTCTTTTTTCAATTAACTAACTAACTTTGGTTTGAGCGAGAGGTCAATTTCTTCTTGGAGGGAAGAAATCTAAAGTTTCTTCTTTTGGGGGGGGGGGAAAGTTGCATGAAAAGTTGTCACAGTGTATGCGTACATTGTGTTGTATCGTTGCGTTGAAGAGAAATTATTTTACCGGTTATTGGATAGAAAAATTGTGCGCGAGTAATTGGTTGCGTTGTTACCTTTGTGCAATTGGCTCTCGTGCTTGCGACACTTGGCACGCCTGTTCTGGAACCAAACTTGAACCCTCGCCTCGCTCAAACCGAGTCTCTGGCTAAGCTCTTCCCTCATGAACGCGTCAGGGTAATGAGTCTCGTCGAACAATCTTTCCAGCTCGGCCAATTGTTCCAAGGTGAAATTCGTTCGAGATCGTCTCTGTTTCCCGTTTCCGTTCCCGTTGTTCCGGCAATTCGACCCTGGAAAAAAATATTTCAAACGGATGACTCTTCTCCGAAAAATTCGAAATTTATCAATCGGTCTTTTTTTTCACTTTATAATTTTTCAACTCTACTTTTCTTCTTTTCCGTTCCAAATGAGTCAGACTTATACGAGGATCTTTAAATCACGGGAGCGGTCAAGAGGAAATTCCAAATTTAATCACCGCATATAATCGTTCACAGGTCATTTCCTCGCAGGTCTGACCGGCGACATCAACATAAATTCCGTCCTTTTTACGAGGATCTTATTCAAATTACGCGGCGAGAAGAAGTTTCGATTAGTCGGCATCAGAGAGACGTCTCGTCGGAATACGATTTACATCTCTCTTCTCGTGGAAAACATTGAAAAACTCTTCTTCCTCCCCGGTGAACGGATTAACATAATTACTTCAATTTTGGATTTCGATAAAAAAAGAAGAAAAAAAACGAAGGAGAATTTTCTTATCGCCAAATGCGTTCTATCTTCTTTGCTTTAAGGAAAAGTATGGGTTATTTAAATTTAAAAGAAAGATTTAAAAAAATCTTTGTGCGACGATCTTTTTACGATCTTTGAAATATTCAAAAATATAAGAAAAACCAACATCACAATTTATGCCATAGAAGATGAAGAATTTTACATATACAATTCAACGTGCGATAATTCGATTATGTTACGATTCTTCAAATATTCAAAAATTTAAGAAGAACCAGCACCACAGTTTATTATACCGTAGAATATTAATTAACGCTCCGAAGAATTTCCTATTTCATGTATTCAGATATTCGACGTGCGATAATTTGATCGAATTACGATCTTTGAAATATTCAAAAATATAAGAAAAATCACAACATCACAATTTATATGCCACAGAAGATACCAAGAATTTCACATTTATAGAAATCAACGTGGGATTAATTCGATCGAGTTACGATTTTTGAAATATTTCAAAAATTAGTAGAATATAAAAATTCCAAATATAAATTTAGAATATGATTAACCAAGACGAAGAATTTCCTATCTCGGATCGGTATCCTCCATAATTACTCACCCACTCGCGTAAATAACCTTAACCCGCTCTTTCCAATTATCCTCCGCCCCCTGTCAACTAATTTCTCCTGTCCATCCCAGAGGGTTGGTCAGATCTTAAAAACTGAAGTTCGAGAAGCCTCGAAAGGAGCCGCAGCTTGAAAAGGAGGGGGGCTGCGGGATAATTAACGGGCGTACGATTTAATTAACGGCTGCTTAATGCAAAGTAACTACCTAGAAGTACTCGCGAAGGTGTTTCCAATGGGGTGTTTCCTTGCGGGGGTGGTCCGTGGCCTTGGTCGAGCGGGGACTGAAGGGGAGGAGGAGGAGGAGGGTTTGGAGGGGTGGATTAAGCGTCTCGCGTAACAGCCCTTGACGAAGGGGACGTGATTTATATAATTTAGCAAAGTGGTGAGCTACGCAGCCTTGTACAGGGTCGTTAGTTACCCTTCCACCCCCTCCTTCTGTTTAGTCTCCCCCTCGTCTCTCTACTTCTGTCCGCCAAGATTTCCTATCCTTCTTTCCGATGGATAAGATGGATCTTACTCGCGTGGATCGCTTGTATTACGATAATAATTGAGAGGATTAAGAGAAATTGCGGAAAATTTCGTGGTTATAATCTTTTGATCATCGATTAACAAATTTCCACAGATTTTCTAAGGATTATTTTTAGGTGAATAATATCCGATAGATTCAGCACCAATACTTTGTGTTCATTCAATCGGTTCATTCCCCCCCAATGGCCCCCCTCCTCATTATCTATCTACACAACAAGGGGACGTAACATTTGCAAATCCTTTCGAAATCTTGCGAGGAAACGGCAAAATTACAAACGAAATAGTATTTTTAAGAGAATATTAGGAAACATTCGTTAATATAGTTTAACGCCAATACTTTGTATTGTACAATCGGTTCATTCTCCCCCAATGGCCCTCCCCTCATCTATTACACAGCAAGAGAAACAAGTGGACGTAATATTTGCAAATCCTTTCGAAATCTTGGAAGGAAACACGCGAACGACAAAACACTACAAACGAGAAGGGAGGGGGAGAGGTGTGTGTGTGTGGGGGGGGGGAAGAAGAGGGGGAGGGCTCGATTAAAACTCGAGGAGCAGTTACAAGGATGGCCGCGATGAAGTATCGCGCTTTAATCAATTAGCGCGTAGCTACGGTAATCCAATCGGAGGCATGGCAGAGCGGATCCCCCCCCCCCCCCGTATATCCATATGTACAGCGGTTTAAAACCCCCCCTCCCTCTCTTCTCTAGTAAAATAACTCGCGCGGTTTCCGTTCTCGTTCCAATCATCCGCCCCTTCATCGTCAAACTACCCCCGCCGCTCTCCCTCCCGTCGCCCAGCCCCCACCATCACCCGTCTGGATTTCTCGTCGATCGTTTTAACGATATCCACGACTCGATATCCGCCTGTTATATCCGTGGTTTTTACCATCTCGTGATCGATCCTCTCTTCTCTTCCTTTTTTTTTTTTTGGAATTTTTTTCTATCTCGAATTATGGGATGTTTTCTTTTCTCTAAAAGCTCGAAAGTTATTCCTCTCGATCGTTTTTCGTTGGAATGTACGTATACTCTTGAATATAGAAGGGATACGATGTATGTATTTTTATATTCGAATTTTTTTATTTTTATCACGAAACTTTTGATTTTCCTTTACTTCTTTCGAATAAAGAATATTCAAATTCGAAGTAATAATAATAATAATAATTCTCGGTGTTAAGTCTTGTGTCCAAACGAGGCAGTCGTTAAGATCCTCCAATTTCCAAGACGCTTCTTACCTCATCGCCTCATATTTCAAACAATGAAATCCTTTAAAGATATCCTTTATCTCGAAAAAAAAAAAGAATATTCGAAAGTAAATACGCAGGAAGAGAGGTGCGAACTCGCGCGGTGGAAGCGAGAAGTGGATAGATAGAACGGGAACGCAGGAGGGAGAGAGGAAGATAGAGGGAGCGAGCAATAGCGGAAACCCTCGTGGAAAAGGCGAAGCAATCACACTCGGACACGAGGGGCCGCTAATTCGATTACTAAGAGCGCTGCCCTCTTGAACCGAACGAGTCGAGATATCGCGGCCATTAGGCGTATAAAAGCCTAAGGGACAACCCCGGGTTAACCCTCTTCCCTCAACTTTTGTCGCGTGCGCGTTCCAACTGCATATGCCACGCCGTCCAATGTTTTCGTGAATTAGTCGGAGAATGGAATCGAGGATGAGGAAGAGATAGCGGCGTGGAGTTCCTTGGAATTTTGAAACAGTGTTGAACGATCAGTGGGGATAGGGAAAATTTAATTTAATCGAATAATTACTTCGATAATTTATTGTTCGAATTATGTAATTTTATTCGAGAATTTTATATCACTTGAAGTGATTCTTACTTTATCCTTAAATTTTATACTCTGGTTGTAAACTTTGGATTATTCTTCCCCCTCTTCCTTAACACTAAACCTACCGACATTTCACGTATACCTATTCCTACCTAATTGGATTCGTAAAGTAAACAATACAGAAAGTTGTGAATATTGAAAAATGGGTTGTATCCACATTATAGAAAAAGTCATATGGCGATACAGTAACTTTGTTAGACACAAGAAATTCTAAACGAAATTTCAGAAACGGTCATTTGAGGTCGTGGTAGGTTTAGTGTTAAATCAACGCGAAATATTCGAATAACGAAAATATTCAATGGCCGTGATTCATTTGTCGTCGTTACTTAATTTCAATGTTTCGTTCAAATGAAGCAGGACGTCGAATCTATGAACGTGTGATCACGAGGCAAGGAATTAATAATAAGACACGCACGCTCATCTCGAGACTAAATATTTGAAAGTGCATCTACGATTTTTTTTTTTTTTATAAACGCACGAAATACCAAGATCTGAAGAACCGTACAGAAAGGTTAAAAATACAGATACAAGAGAAACACGCCTCTTGCTTCGAATCACAAATTTGCACTTGATAATCCCATCCCGAATTCATCGTTTATATTCCGCCCGAAACCTGTCCAAAGAAAAGATTCACGAGGACGTGAGGGCGAAGCGAGGATTGGCCTGGTATAAATAAATATGGAGAGAAAAAATTGGCGGTGGGCGGGTGAAAAACTTACGGGGGGTCGTAAACTTGGAGGGGGGCGGCGGTCAAATACGGCGGCGGGTGGCGGTAAACGCCGATGGCCATTTGGGAGACGCGTGTGCGCGAGCAAAGTGGCCGAACGAGGAGGAGGAGGAGGAGGAGGAGGAGAGAGTACACGAGGTGATCTACTGCGACTACTCTCTTTCCGCGACGGTATTTGTTATGTCGCGTCGTTCCTCGGCTGCGAGCCGTGAAATATCGCGGCCGTCCCTTCGTGTCTGTCCAGAGGACGAAATCGTCTCGCGAAATCGTCGAAATTGAAAATCGGGATCGAACGTTTCCTCCTCTGTGAACGAGAAATTGGAAGGAACTCGGGGAAATATTAACGCGTTCTCTTCTTCTCTGTACGAATAAAAACAAATATAATTAAAGAAATAGAAGATTCCATCCGTTCATCTTGGACAAGTTGTCGTTGTCAAACGACAATTTTATTAGTGAGATTTTTAAAATCGTACTCTTAGATAGTCCTCTGTCACTCTCGAGCATCGAACATCATCATTTTCCAACATCCATTTCTCCCGCAATCGGCCGCGAGAAAAGCCTGAAAAAGGAGGGGGGAAAAAACGAAGCTTCAAAGCTCGTAATTCACGAGAGAGAGAGAAAGAGAGAGAGAGAGAGAACGTGGAGAGGTGGAACAACGTGGAATGGAACAATGGCGGACAATGTGCGCGATAAAAAATGCAATCGACAAAGCGTTACATAGAGGGCGGTTAAATTGGATGGAAAGTTTCGGATGGAGAGTCGAGTTTAAAAAAGAAAAAAAAAAAAGAAGAGAGAGAAAAACTGACGCGTTCAAAGGTAACCAAATGCCATGGTTGGTTCCTCGCCACGATAACTCTGCCGTCTATTGCGGCCTCGCGGAACTCGCATGAATTTATGGTTTAATATGCGGCCCGCCGCGTTGTGTACGCCCCCTAACACGCTCGCCTCCGCGGGATGGAGAAAAAGAGAGAAGAGAGAGAGAGAGGTTCCATTCTCTCGGGGGCCCATAACTTTTCCCGATTAAGCGCAAATCAAAAAGCAATCTGCTCGGCCGGCAGCCATCGGACGCGGCCAAGTAGAATCATAAATAACGGCGGAGTTTGAAGAAGCGGCGAAGAAGCGGAGGAAAACTCGTTCGAATCGTTTTGGTTTTTCCAAGAGAGAGAGAGAGAAAAGAGGAATCGTATCTTTTTTTGCGAAGCTTCCTTTCCTTTCTTATTTATTTATTTCGTCCTGTTATTTTTATAGTTTTGGTGTTGTTTGGAGATTGAGGAGGAAGTTGGAATTGGAGGAATCGGTGATCTAGTTTTTACTAGCTGCTTACGTTGAATTATTGTGAAAAAGCAACAAAGTATGCGAAGTTGGTGAAGGAATAAAAATGAAGTTCGTTCAAGTGGGTGTTGTTGAATTGGAAAGTGAGAGGTGAATATTCTTATCATTGGCGTTCAACAGGATATTGAAGTGGGGAATTTATTGATATTGCGAAACGTAGATTGGAGAGAAAATAAGTGTAAGGAATTGATATTCTTGTCTATTATGTAAATCGAAGCAATGATAGTGTTCATATTCAAGATTGGATATTGAAGATTGAACAGAAAGTATGCAATAAGTTGGCAAAATTGAAGATGAAGTTGAAATATAAATTAAAACCGATATTACCATTGTATACAAGTGAGTATTATGAGATCGAGGGGGAAGGTACGTGATAACTTAAAGTTGATATTCTTGGATAACATTTGGAAGGAATTTTTAAATGGAAAATATCTCTTCTAATACGAAGAAGAAATGCAATTTTCTTGGTGAAGCAAAAAGGGGAAAGCTGAGAGATAGAATTTGAACGGAGAAATACTTAATCAATCCGGGATAATGTTGAATTTTTCGATGGGGAGTCGATTGAAATGGAAGGTTGAGACAAAGCAGGATGACAGGCAGGAAGAAAAGTGCAAGTGGTGGTTGGTGAACGGTCGTTATTGAAGTCGACTTGGCATGTGGGTAAAATTGGAGGTCGGTGATCGTTACGTTGTGAACGGTCAGCTATTCCCAATCACTTCTGAGCTTTATTGGACGACGTGTTGAATTATAAACGAAGATCGAACCCTCCGACGATACGTGCCCGAGGTTCCTGACCTTCTTACCATCGAAACACACAGAACGAATACCATCTTTAAAACCTCTCCTAACACCAATCGTAGATATAAAATATTCAAAAGTAGAACATTGCATGTACTCGAAAAATGATAACAAATATTCTTCCGTTTCAGAAAAACAACCGGAAAAACAATTTCTACGCTGAATTTGCACACTCGATATTCTCATCATTCAATTTTAAAGATGTTTTATCTCGAGATAATCAATACACACGAACAAACGTTATTTTATTCTCTTATCATTGTAGATATAAAATATTCCAAAATATACTAATTCCATGTACTCGAAAAATGATAACAAATATTCTAAAAACTAGAAAAATGATTATTAATATATTTTTCTACGTTGAACGAAGAAATAATCAACACAAAAAAATTATGTACAGACATAAAATATTCCAAAATATAATAATTCCATGTACTCGAAAACTGACTGTACAAAAATTCTTCCTGACAACTAGAAAAACAATTGTTAATATATTTTTCTACGTTGCGAAGAAATAATCTTGAAATTATCAACACAAACAAACAGACAAACAAACAGAATATTTATAATAAAATCCTATTGGAATCATGATTTCCCCTTACCTTTGCCACCCTCTTCCTGCATCAACGACTTCGAAACCTGCGATTGTATCTTCAAATCCGACGGTTTCGCATCGTTGGAAGAGTGATTCTTCGATTCGATGCAATTTTCAGGACTGGCCGACCGATCTCTGGAGATAGGCGGGGGCGACGGGCTGCATCCCAACAATTTCCTCACGGATAGCTTCAATTCGGGCGTCTTGAGAGGCGGCAGGGCGTCGGTTGCGTTAATCGCGTCCTTCGCCTCCTTGCTCTTGGTCGTGACGGAGAGGTCTTCCGGTTGGAGGCGGCCTTCCGGCGACGGCGGCTCGTCCACGCTGCTCCCCTCGACGCTCGACGGATCCTGAACGGATTCGCGTGTCGCACCGCCGACATCTGGACAACCATTGCCGGAAATCAGTTTCTCTCACGCCGCGTCTTTCAAAAGGAATTTTCTGTTCTGAGCAAACGACGGAGAGAGGGATACTCGATGATGGCGCGTATTCGTCTCTTGCAGGAGAGGAAGAGGAGGATTGAAAGGAGAGAATGAAACGTTTGAGAAGTTTAAGAAGAGAAGATTTTTGAGAGAAGAATTGGAGAAGAACGATTAGATTCGACGAGGTTATTCGAATCTTTGAAGTATTATTTATTAATCATTTTCGATTTAAATGGTAGTCAGGGTACGCATTCGAGGAAGCGAAAAATAGTAGCGGAGTATAAGTTCAAGCGTCAAATTTTAAAGAGTTTGCTTTCAAATTGAGGATTCACCGACTGTTTGTTTGACGATCATTTTAGAGGTAGAAGAGGCACGTTCGCGATATTCTTGGAGACAAATAGTGGGAAGCGAATCGTGCATGAGGATCAATTGATTACTGAACTCACTGAATAGGAAAAACAACGTATCTCGGAGAGATCTGTTGAAACTTTTTTTCGTGAAGACACGAACGTAAAATGCACGAAATACTTCCTCCGTTTCTTTTTTTTTTTTTTAGATTCCAGCCTTTCTTTATTTACACACCAATTGATCAACGATAATTCCAAAAAAAAAAAAAAAAAAAATGGAATTGATTTTTCTCGTGAGACAACAAAGAACTTGAAGACGCTTGATAAAACTTTATGCAAACTCTGACAGTAAAGTAATCGTAATTTTGTCGAATGACCATCCATATTACGAATATATTCGATTATATTTCGTTCGAAGAGTAAAAAGTGTTTCAACGCAATTTATTTCTCTGCTAACCAATATCCCCGAACTTTATCGTTCAAGAAGACTTCGTATATATATATTCATTACCACCTATTTCCAAAAACCTTCACGTTCATATTCCACCATCGCGAAACAACCACATCCACCCACACAATCTTTATTTCGCACTTTCGATCGATCATCCACCCACCCACACTAAACACGACCACAACCGAGTCACCACGTGAGGAGAACCGTGTCAAACCGTGTTTCGAAACCAAGAAATCACCGAAGACCAACCAAGATAATCTCGAAAAGAGTAGAAAAGGATCCAGGATCGAGAGATCTCGAAAGGAGGGGAGAAAGAGAAAAAAAAAAAAAGAAAAAACTCTCGAAAATGACATATATGAAAACGTACTCGATTCGTTCTCCGCAGGATCCCCGAGCAAATGCGCGACACTTAGGGTGATCCTCGCGGAGGGTGGCCGTTCGATGGTTGTCCTGCATGCCGCGTGTTCGCCAGCCGCGTTGTCGAAACTCTTGGAGACGAACTGGGCGAGCTGCTCCATCCTCGCGGAGAAGACTCGCGCGACGACGCGGCACTCGCGTCGACCTCGTCACCGAGGACGGAGAGCACCTCGAGGGGGTGCACGGTGGTGGTGCTAGGTGGTAGCCTTGGCGCTCGGCGTCGCGACGCCACGCGTCCCTCAGGACGCCATTCGGACGCCGGCCAATCCGCGCCCTCGTAGGCGTTTCCGCTACGCCCTCGCCTCTTCCTCTCCCTCGCCCCTCCCGTTTCCACCACCCTCTACCTCCAACCCCCAACCCCAGCTCAAACCCCCACCGCCCCTAAACCGACCCTCATTAGCATTTGCGCCCGCTTTTCCACCCGCGAAGCGCAAACTACCCACCTACCGATAGCCGCTGTTCCTCTGTTGCCCATCGCCTGTCTTCCTCTCGACTCCGTCTCTCTCTCTCTTCTCTCTCTCTCTTCCTTCCAACTAACACCTTACTTACCGGCGACGTGTCTCTCTCTCTCTCTCTCTCTCTCTCTCTCTTTGTTTCGCAAACTAACACCTAGCGATAGCCCAATTCCATGTTCTGGCCACGGTTTCAACGTGTCTCTCCCTGTTTCGCAAACCGACGCTTGGCTTCTCCTACGTTGGTGGCCATCGTTTCGATGCGTCTATGTCTCCTTTCTGTTTACGCGTTTCTCTGTCTTTTGCGAACTACCATCCAGCGATATAACCCGACTTACTTGCGTTGGGCTACCGTTTCTCGATGTATCTCTCTTTGTTTCGCGACTAACACCTATAGCGATAGCCCAATTCCCTGTTCTGGTCACCGTTTCACGGTGTCTCTTTTATGTTTATGCGTTTCTCTCTTTGTTTCCTAACTAACATCGATAGCCCAAGTGTGATCACTATTTGGACATGTCTATGTTTCTCTTATCATATCATATTTCTTTGTTTTTTGCAAACTAACATATCGTAGATATGTTAGAGATATTCTTGTATTGACTGTTTGAATACCGTTTGCGTTTATACGTTAGTCTGTCTCTCTTATGCCTGTGTCTTGTTCTGTCTCTCCTCGTTTCACTCACGTTACACACTGAACAGGTAGACATCACGGACAATCCTCATTTCGGCAACCACTCACTCGGTGGCGTTGGGGTGTTACGTATTGTATGGTGGACACACGTTTCTCGTGGATGATAGGTTTAGATGAGAATGATGCTCGTTCACGATCCCTGTCGATCATGTTTATGTCGTAGTTAGTAGATGGGGTACGATGATCGGTATTAAATGATTTAGTACTATTGATCGTCGCTTCCATGGGTATTTCGAAGAGGAGGATTTGAAAGATTTTTGAGGTTGGATTAAATTTTGTAGATAAAATAATTACATTATTAAATTCTATTTTTTAACGATGTAGTTTTTTTCAAACTACCGCAAATCGAAACCACTTTCGATTTCACCTTCCATTGTCGAATTTTCTCCATCTTTCTTCCTTGAAAAAAGAATCCTTGGTACGAAATTGAAATTCAAGCGACGGAATCGAACCTTGAGGAAGGGGATGGCCGCCACTTTGGAGAGTCGAAAATATTTGCGTGGCAACGTTTTACATCGAAATGGACGCGTAACTGGCCTTTTGACAGGCCAGCCGCGTTCGAATTGCGAGGCCGGGACGCGGCGTGTCTCGTGTTTGCCGCTACCAAACTCGGCAATATTTAAATGGGATTGCGTTCGGGAATGTAATTGGTTGAGCAAACACGGCCCGTGAAACGTTGGGACGGATATGGATAGACAGTAACGACGGGGATTGGAAAACTGAAAGGGAACGATGTAAATCCACCTTGGTTGAGAAATCTAGAAGAAAGGATGAAAAGGAGATCGGCGTGAGAGAGAAGAAAAGAATCTAGATTATTGTTTGATCAAATATCAGAAGAAGGAAACGGGAGAGATAAAAATTTGAAAAGTTCAAATAATAGTAAAAAATTAAATTAATAAATTTTGGAATTAAGAAACTCGTCTTAATTAATTGTTTAGAAAAGAAAAGCCGATTACATCACTTGACACTTTACCTTTCCTTTACAAACAACCGATCAAATCGTGACACGGTATCCCGGTGATCAAAATACAAAAACCAAAGATATCCAAGTAGGCAAGTATCCTTGGAAGAAGCTTGGAAAAAAAGAGATGCGGCGTGGATAGAAGCAGACGGATGCTGAATGACGCTTGCGTTACCGTTGAACGAGAGAAAGAGAGACGGACGACAAAGATAACGATCGAACAAGGAGAGAAGATGTTCGAACGGGGAAGAGAATTAACGCTCGTGTAACAAAGATAACGCGAGACGAGATTGGCGCGGGGAGAGAAAGAGAGATGTGTATATATATATATATATATACATGCAACGATGGAAACGGTAGTAGAGGGAGAAACGGTCTATAACGCAGGCAGACGGAGCCAATCAGGGCGCAATGCGATTACCTTAACGAGAAATCCGATTACTTATTCATTCGCCTAACTCGAAATCAGTTTAACTAATCGTTTAATTCGGTAGCAACCCCTACCTGCCTATCCCTCCCTCGCTCACCAACGTTTTCGAGGCAGCACGGGCCGAATACTCTCTCTCTCTCTCTCTGTACGCATCGCGTATACTGTAACTCTATCCTCGTCCATCCTCGTGTCTCAATCCTGCGTGGATGCTCGTTGGGTGTGGTGGCCGTGGGACGGATGGATCTCTCCCCCCCTTCAAGCTTCTCTCTCTCTCTCTCTCTCTCTCTCTCTCTCTCTC